GATAAAGATCGTATAAAGATAATGATGATAAAGATCGTATAAAGATAATGATGATAAAGATCGTATAAAGATAATGATGATGGTTAATAATAATGATGATAAAGATCGTATAAAGATAATGATGATGGTTAATAATAATGATGATAAAGATCGTATAAAGATAATGATGATAAAGATCGTATAAAGATAATGATGATAAAGATCGTATAAAGATAATGATGATAAAGATCGTATAAAGATAATGATGATAAAGATCGTATAAAGATAATGATGATAAAGATCGTATAAAGATAATGATGATAAAGATCGTATAAAGATAATGATGATAAAGATCGTATAAAGATAATGATGATAAAGATCGTATAAAGATAATGATGATAAAGATCGTATAAAGATAATGATGATAAAGATCGTATAAAGGCGGCAACTTCCTGCGTTTGTCTGCATGAGCTGTTTTTTGCCTTACTGACGTATTTTTTTCGGATTCAAAATGCATGGGTGGGAATGTGTGTGCGTATTTGTCTACACACGAACGCACGCACGCACAGAAGCACACAAACACACACATTTCAATGGCTGTATATCACAATATATACATGTATATACATATGTATATATTTGCATATATTTGTACATACACATGGACACACACACATACACACACACACACACACACACACACACACACACACACACACACACACACACACACACACACAAACACACACACACACACATATAATGATGAATACTGGATTTGATGAACACTTTACTGGGCAGAACGGACACTTTTCTCTCCCTGATCTTCAATAAGAAACATTTCTCTTAATTTGAATTTAACTCCTATGGATGTTTTACTGTAATATTAACGAAAGGACAATTTTCTTTCCCTGATCATTACTGAAATGGAATCATTCAACTTTCCCGTCCGGAGTTTGACTAAAAGGACAGTTTCGATTTGAAGAAAAAACAAAAAGGACAGGAACTCAGATCACGCCCCCCCTCCCCCCCCTGCTGCCCCGTCTCACAATTCCACGTCTTAAGGAAAGAGAGAGAGAGAGAGAGAGAGAGAGAGAGAAAGAAAAAAACAACAACAAAACACCGAAAGAATGATGAAAGAAAGAAAGAGAGGAATAATAAAAAGAAAAGAAAAAGAATGCAAAACGTCACCATGCAAATAAATAAGTAAAATAAATAGATAAGATAAAACCATAATAACGATACATAATAAGAACAAATAAATTAATGACAATAAATCAAATTAACAAACGACACGAGAGAAAATTAATATACGCCGCATGCAAACCGCGATTCATTTGTTCAAGACGAGCCGTCAATCACATCATGCTTGGAGAAAATGAGAAGAAAGGAAAGGATGACGAAGAAGAAGAAAGGAAAGGAAGAAGAAGAAAAAATAAAGGAAGAAGAAGACAAAAGAAAAGGATGAAGAAGAAGAGAAAAGTAAAGGATGAAGAAGAAAAAAAG